AGGTAAGGGAAGAGAAGATTTTCAGAGATCAAGAGGCCAGATTCTAGTCTTATCAAGGGGCCAGAAAGGGGGGAAGCAGGAAGGGGTCCGTCACGGCGACGTCGCTGTCTCGCGACACGGTAGGAGGCCTGGGGGTGCATGCTGAATTTGTCTTCGACCAAGTCCAACTCAAAACATGTCTTCGGAAACTGAAAGACCAAGGGTTTCTTCGTGAACAAGAGTTTGACGGAATTAAGCTCACTGGCGTGATCCCCCCAAGGCTATTTGATTTGTTAAATATGCACAAAAAAGACTTTCCAATACGGCAGATACTAGACATGTGCAATTCACCCTATCATGCAATTGTAAATTGGCTGGCAGAAAACCGAAATCAATTGTGCGCCAAATAGCACCACAGCTTATAGGACATATTTGAATTCATCAAGTCCATGAGAAATAAGAACCCCAATGGGAAGACGATGTTGTCCTTAGATGTTGCGTCCCTGTTCACTAATATCCCCCTCACAGAAACCATAGAACTTTTATGGGATTATAAGACAGGATTTTGCAACCGGCAAGCCGGTCGGAGACCGCTTAATGCGCATTTCAGCTTTGACGGTCAAATTTACCGCCAACTCGATGGCATAGCTATGGGCTCACCCCTTGGACATATGCTAGTTGATGTCTTCATGAGGAAACTGGAAAATAACCAAATCTATCCTATTATAAAGGACCTTTCTTCATATGCTTGATATGAAGATGAGTCTTTTGCAATACCAGATGGACGTCTTCAGTTGGACACTTTCCTGGATAAGGTAAATCATATTCACACAGCGTTACCATTCACTTTTGAAAAAGAGAACAGTCCGTGCATCCCCTTGCTGGACGTCCTACTTAGTAGAAAGTCCGATAGAACGAGTAGTAAAGGTCTATTTCACAAGAAAGCACGGACAGAACAAAAGATAAACGTTTACAGTTCTTTCCTACTAAGTCAGAAACGAAGCTTAGCCCGCTGCTTCACAAAGCCAGCTAGGAGATGCACTGGACAACGAACTCGCCCTTATTCAAATCAATTTGCGAGAAAAAGGCTTTCCTGGGAAATTTATAAATACACTTTTGGAGGAACGTCTTCTAAAGTCAAACTTACCGGCAGCTGAGAAGAAAGCTTTATTTCTCACATCGCCTTTTCGAGCGGATCCCGCAAGCGGACATCTAAATTTCCACTTAAACGCTGCAATCGCGTGCACATATCCAGCTGAGAAGATAGGACTAGTCTTTTCAAGCATTCCACTTCCTCGCCTTGAATGAATGGATAGAATCCCGTTTCAGAATCCTTCAATGTGCTCTAGACCTTTACTTGCTCATGTGGAACAGGTTATATCGGTTGAACGACTAGAATTCTATCCAAACAGATGCGAGAACATCATGCTGCCTGGCTAAACTGAGGCGTGGTAAAATTCCTATCTAGCGCGACTTTGGCTCACTAGGTTGACAGCGGTCACCGGGTGGACGTCAGCCAAGCGTTCGGAGTTATTGATGAAGTGCCGACGAAACATTCTGTTCCTGCGTCGGCGGACACTTGCGACGGCGGAGGCAGTTGCTATGCTGCTAACTAACCCCATTCTGTGCGCACAGAAGGCGTTGTTTCCTGAAAATTTCTCTCCCCATACTTACTGTTGATTGGATGCTTAAACTTCTTCACTCTACGTTTCCTTATATTACTTTAATTGCCTGATGATTTATACTCAAAAGCCTACGTTCGTCAAATTTGATTTCTTGAATGGTTGCATGGGTATCATCGCTGAACATGTTATTCCAATTAAACAATTCTATTTTTTTTCTGACACAACCAACAATTTAGGCATTCACTTAGTACCAAGTAGAGCCCTGCAATAACAACAGTTTACCACATCATAATTATGCTCTGGGGGTGGGAGGGACGAAATAATGTCATTGAAAGGTGGGGTATTGCGACAGTAAGTTAATTTTTTTGCGGGCATTGACAGATTCAAGATTAGAAGACGCGACCACTGGAACTCGCATATTTACGTCTATAGACAGATTCATAGTACCGCTTCAAGTCTGTGATAAATTAGCTGTTGGTGTCCGTGTGACTGCTCCGTCTGTAAGCAATGCTTACGTGGTCACCATTTTGAGCGAAGTCAATGGAAATTGTATGTGCCCTTGCAGACGCTTATAACCAGACTTACTTGTACTCAGTTCGGCTAGGGTGACACATTCTGATCGGCAAAAAGTCGACACGCAATGTTTCGGCAGTTCGCCATTTCTGTACATAATGTAACCCCTTTTTCGGCCGCCAGCAGACAACCACGCACCTTAAATCGCTACTAATAAATGACGACCTGCCTGTCTGTTACCCCCATTCCTAAATTAGTTAAGCTTGGGTTATCAAGATACGTGCTAGCTCTCAGTCTGAGAATTCATAGATTCAGGGATTTCATAGCATACCTCCGATCCTACTAGATAATAAGGAATGCGAAGATGATTTTCAAAGGGCACCTATTTGGTTAATTCATTTAAAAACTATTGTTATTTGCCGACGCCAAGCTGAGGATAGGGGACAATGGGGTTTGGGGCACGCTTCTAACAAGTCCATACAGAGAGACTGGTGGTTGGGCTGAGTGTCAGTCAGGTCAGGCAAACGGCAGCTTGCAAAGGTTTCTGCCGCCGAACAGCAACAAAGACAGCAATGACGCGAATTTCCCCTTGCACAGGCCGCCAAGGCCATTATCTGTGAGTTCACCCGAAGACCCACAGCGTTGACGTGCATGACTGCCTAAACGGAATTACGGGAACAGGAACGTCCTGTCAACTTAAATTGGGTGGCCTTGCGATAGATTTAGGGAAGGGCAAATATTCTCCTGCTTTAATCCCAACACTAACCCTAACATGAAGCGAAAGTGTAACCTTAATCTTAACCCTAGCTCTACTCTAAACCTAAACTGTACAGTTAACACGAACTCTTGATATAATCCCGACCCTAACCCCAACTCTGACGTGAACGCCAACCTCAAACCTACCTCTAACCTAAATCGTAAACCTAATTTCCCCAGAATTTGATATAAAACCGCATATACTGTGGACAGTTTATGTCCTCTTGCCCTATTTAGGTGGTCATACATGTCATATTTACCCTGGTAGCCACAGGGCAAGTGAAAATATTGTAGTAAGTTAATCGTAAAGCAAGCGTTCTCAGGCTTTAGAACATACGCTTAATTAGTCTCCCAAAAGTATTTTCTACGTTTTTATTGCCCAATATTCAAAAGTATGCAGCGAGGAGTACAATGCACTGACCTAAGGGTGAGCTCTACCCCTTGGCAATTTTAAAAGAGCCTATGGGATCTAAATGTAACAGAAACCTAGTAATTCCTGGTAAATGCAACAGGCTTATATAGCGTGGTTTACTTGTAAATAAAAATTATGCAAGCTGAAAAATCTCTAAGTAGCTGCTTTGCTTCAGCATTTGCGCTGCGGAGAAAATAAGAGTGACAGTTTGACCGTTGCAACAGAAAACGCCGTATACGTCACCGCTGATCCGCCAGAAAATCTTCTCTTAATTCGAGGGCTTGAATTGAGTTGCTTAAATATCTGCAAAAGAAGAAGTTTACTCTCGCGAAAAAAAACTGTCCACAAAAAGTTTTTGAGTCAACGTTGTGTCCCACCGGAAAACTACTTCTTTTCTGGCTACTGTGAAAATGCCAGATCTTTTAAAATCTTTATATAAAGGCAATATCATTTTAAAAAACAATTTCTGTAAATGTATGGGTGTTTGCTTAAAATTTGACCTCCGATGAGTCATGATGTCACATGTGCTCGGAAATCGAAAAAGCTATTTCCTAAGACCAATAAGAAAATTTTACCCTTTTATTTACTTTTGTACTCGTCTGCGATGTTTGCCTGAAATTTAAAAAAACACATTCACTTAATTTTAATGGTTTTGTGCTTTTTTTCTGGATGTTGTCCGGTGATCCAGTTGTTGATTTTTAGTACAAGAGGCCAATTTTTTCTACCGAACCAAGGATATTACTTATAATATCAGGGGTTGTAAAATTCAGTGGCCAAAACGACGACGGTTACAATTAGTTTTACTTCCCTGAAGCCCCTTAATTAGCATTTAGATTTCTTGCAAATGTTCGAGTATTTTCGCTCAAAACCCTACAATTTTACCGAAATTTGATATCTGGAGCATCGATTTATATCGCTTTTCATGTCA